TGCGTGGCTAGGTAAGTAACATAACTAGCAATGTATGGCTAGGTAAATAACATAACAAGCAATGCGTGACTAGGTAAGTAACAACTAGCAATGTGTGGGCTAGGTATGTAACAAGTAGCAATGTATGGCTAAGTAAGTAACAACTGGCAATGTAAGTAACATAACTAGCAATGCGTGGCTAGGTAAGTAACATAACTAGCAATGTGTTCTAGGTAAGTAACATAACTAGCAATGTATGGCTAGGTAAGTAACATAACTAGCCATGCGTGACTAGGTAAGTAACAACTAGCAATGTGTGGGCTAGGTATGTAACAAGTAGCAATGTATGGCTAAGTAAGTAACAACTGGCAATGTAAGTAACATAACTAGCAATGCGTGGCTAGGTAAGTAACATAACTAGCAATGTGTTCTAGGTAAGTAACAAGTAGCAATGTATGGCTAAGTAAGTAACAACTGGCAATGTAAATAACATAACTAGCAATGTATTGCTAGGTAAGTAACATAACTAGCAATGCGTGGCTAGGTAAGTAACACGTAGCAATGTATGGCTAAGTAAGTAACAACTGGCAATGTAAATAACATAACTAGCAATGCGTGGCTAGGTAAGTAACATAACTAGCAATGTATGGCTAGGTAAATAACATAACAAGCAATGCGTGACTAGGTAAGTAACAACTAGCAATGTGTGGGCTAGGTATGTAACAAGTAGCAATGTATGGCTAAGTAAGTAACAACTGGCAATGTAAGTAACATAACTAGCAATGCGTGGCTAGGTAAGTAACATAACTAGCAATGTGTTCTAGGTAAGTAACATAACTAGCAATGTATGGCTAGGTAAGTAACATAACTAGCCATGCGTGACTAGGTAAGTAACGTAACTAGCAATGTGTGGGCTAGGTATGTAACAAGTAGCAATGTTAGGCTAGGTAAATAACATAACTAGAAATGTGTGGCGAGGTAAGTAACATAACTAGAAATGTGTGGGCTAGGTAAGTAACAAGTGGCAATGTATGGCTAGGTAAATAACATAACTAGCAATGTGTGGACTAGGTAAGTAACATAACTAGCAATGTGTGGCGAGGTAAGTAACATAACTAGCAATGAGTGGCTAGGTAAGTAACATAACTAGCAATGAGTGGCTAGGTAAGTAACATAACTAGCAATGTGTGGCTAGGTAAGTAACATAACTCGCAATGTGTTGCTAGGTAAATAACATAACTAGCAATGTATGACTAGGTAAATAACAACTAGCATTGTGTGGACTAGGTAAGTAACATGAAATGGTTTGCTGATAAATCATAAACATTATTTATATTTTAGGTTCTGTGCGGGATGAACGACTTCACCGTTTATTTTGTCATAAAAAAGTGAGTATGCTGAGACCGAAAGAAGACAAAGATGATTGGTTTAATATGTTTGTACTTCACCAAAACAGGTAATCACATGGACTTATTTTATATTCAGATGTATACCACATTTCACTTGCTGTACACCACTAATGTCCATCTATGATGCTAATAATATCTGGTACAGCGTTTGCTACTACATTTGCATTTAATATGTAATTTACAAAACTTTTTCTATGGTGAAAAGAAGTAATATTTGAATAAGTCAATAGTGAGCAATATTTGCATAAATGTAAATGGTAATGAGATATTACTAGCATTGTACTTAGGCATATAGACTGGCGCAGTCGGGACAATTAATTTGTTTTTGTAGTTTAAATAAAATAAAATATTTCGCAAAATGGAGGTGTTAGCGCAAAATCCCCTGTACCTGCGAAATCACCCCTACTGGTTCATTCTGCATGGCCCTCTATCAACACTGCAGGAACCCGTTGATTTTTCAACGGGTAATTATGTTAATGAGTGTTCCAATTGACAATCTTAACTACTCTTCAACTGACCTCTGACCGAGAAGACGTCGGATGATTGTAGCAGCTAGAAACTACATTAAAACCTACGTTTTACAGTTTCTATGCTACATTCTAAGTCTATTTACGACGACTACGACAAACTCAAATTTCAACGTGTGGCCATGGTGGGACTGCAGTGTTACCTTAACCATGTTGACAAATTTGCGCGCCCATCTCATTATATGTGCATTCATGAATATTTAATAGCAATGAATTTCCTGCAGAATAAACCAGTCTGGGTGATTTCGCGCTAACACCTCCATTTCGCGACATTTTTTATTTTATTTAAACTACAAAAACAAATTAATCGTCTGACTGCGCCAGTCTACTAGGCATATAGTTAGTGGAATGTCTCACGGATGTCTATGACATCCCATAGTGTGTGATGTTTGCATAAATCTGAATAAGTAATGAGATATTACTAGCATAGTACCTAGGCATATAGTGAATGGAATGTCACATAGATGTCTATGACATCCCATAGTGTGTGATGTTTGCATAAATCTGAATAGGTAATGAGATATTACTAGTATAGTACTTAGGCATATAGTGAATGGAATGTCACATAGATGTCTATGACATCCCATAGTGTGTAATGTTTGCATAAATCTGAATAGGTAATGAGATATTACTAGCAATGTACCTAGGCATATAGTGAGTGGAATGTCACATAGATGTCTATGAAATTCCATAGTGTGTGATGTTTGCATAAATCTGAATAGGTAATGAGATATTACTAGCATCATTCCTAGGCATACAGTGAGTGAAATGTCACATAGATGTCTATGACATCCAATAGTGTGTCATGTTTGCATGAATCTGAATAGGTAATGAGATATTACTAGTATTGTACCTAAGCATATAGTGAGTGGGATGCTGATCTCCTGGCTAATGCTGCAATTACAGGCATGTTAGACCCATATAACTTGTAGAAATGGTGATTACACTGCTTTTATTCATAGATCAAAACACGGTCAAACAAATTACATCCCAGAACAATTCCTTGATGACTTCATTGATTTAGTTATTTGGGGGCATGAACATGAATGCCGAATAGACCCTGAGTGGAATGGATTACAGAATTTCTTTGTCAGTCAGCCAGGAAGTACAATAGCAACGTCACTCAGCGAAGGAGAATCCAAACAAAAGTAAGAAATTATTTCTTCGTGAGTGTCTTAATTTTAATTAAACCTGGACACACAGATTGACCTCCACGCATGCATAATGGTCATATTCATCAGGCATACCTTGGACTATTCAAATTTTACACATCGTGGGACACATATGCATAGTGTATTTTGTTTATCAATCAAATTTAAGATGTTTGGCTGAAGGTCATTTAGTTCTAAAAATACACCAAAATCAAGCATTTGTGCCATTCTGTCACCAGATTGTGGGTGTAAAAAGGAGATGAAGTACATCATTTGATACAATGCTATTTATTTACAAAGCAGAGAAAGGCATTGTTTAATTTCATTGATGGTATAAACACACATTTCATAGAAACAGAAAAGAACGAGTAATTCAAACTAATACTTCAATCAAAACATAAAGGAATTGTAAATGCTTTTACTATATATTTGAATAACTTGAAAATATTCAAAAACACGTTCTCATGATCATAATAATTTTTTCAAACTTAGTTTAAAATCAACTTTGTTACTTTATAAACCAAACTTATATTGACAACTTTTCTGTATGGTTGCAATTAAGGTTCCATCTTATCTTATCATTGGTTATTTTTCTAGACATGTTGGTCTTGTCAGAGTACGAGAGAGAGCAATGAAATGTTCAAAAATCCCGTTAAAAACTGTACGCCAATTCTACACTGAAGATGTAGTACTTTGTGAGACAAGTCTGAATCCTGAAGACTTTAATATCACTCAGATAGTTGAAGAGTTTTGTGTGGCAAAAGTTGAAGCCTTGCTGGAACGAGCAGAGTCTGATCACACGGGTAATCCCAGACAACCTAAACTGCCACTCATTAGAATCAGGGTAAGTTCAACTTGTTTTCCTTGCGAAAGTAATTTACATACATGCGCTTCTCAGTCTTGGTAGCTGTGATCACAACAATATCATTGAATAGTTGATTTTTAATATATCTATTTTAGCATTCATAGAGAGCTGTATAATTATTTTACAGGTTGATTACAGTGGTGGATTTGAACCTTTTAACATTTGTCGATTTGGTCAGAAGTTTGTAGACAGGGTGGCTAACCCCAAAGATATAATTCTCTTCCATCGAAGGAAAGCAATAGAAAAAAAAGGTAATAATTCTAATGAGGGAATAATCATAAGCAAAAATATTTTAAGTAAACAAGTTCACAAAATAAATTACTGTATTGATTTTACATACACATTTCACGCAATTAAAATGAGAACATATTAAAAACCAAATGTTACTCTTAATACAATAGACCATTTTCCGTTCACTGCGAGAATCACGCGTTATGCGTGAAATCGAACGTAAAAACAGGACAAACAAAGGTCGTAGTGGCGTCAAACATCGCGTGGGATTCGACAAACGCGAAAGTATTTTGGGGGACATTTCCATGCTTAATAATGTGCTGTCCACATTTGATGATAGGCAATTTCGAGTAAGTGAGGGTATTCGGAAGCAATATTCCTCTGTCGAAGATCGGCCGGTCGATGTGAGCTACGAAATAAAGAAATTTGATTTCAAAATCAAATCGTTTGATTTTTGCGGCAGACGTTTGACGCGCGTCTTTCATGCATCTCGCGAGATCTCGCAATTGTACGGAAAATCACCTATTCCCACCATCATTTATTTATTTGTTTGTTTGTTTGTTTGTTTGTTTGTTTTGTTTGTTTGTTTATTTGATTGATTATTTATTTGTGTGTTTGTTTGTATGTTTGCCCAACAACAGCCAATACTCGTGATTCGTTAGTTACATCAAAAATAAATGTTGAATCAGAAAAAACACAATCCACATTTGAATTATAAAAATTAGCTATTTATTCTATTTGAAAACTAGCTGTATGCCTAAAAGTTGTGGCATGTTGGTTGTTTGAAAGACAAAAGTGTCTTCTGCTCTCATCAGATGATTACAACCAGAATGGTCTGATGTAATGACAAGCTAAAAGGCGTGAAAAGATTTCCCTATCCAAGAATCATGTTTTTTTTGTAGATTTTAAAAGTAACATTGACAAAGATGAATTGGATAGTTATTTACGTCCAGAAGCATTGGATACCTCTAGGATAGAAGATCTGGTCAAGGATTATTTTAAAAATGCAGACAAGGTATCACTGATTATATTGCTTTATGTGTGTGTTATTTTATGATATCTATATCATTTTTATCCAACTGGAAGAACTGTTTTCCAACAGGTATTTAAAATGCAATACAGCCTATTACTGTCTTTCAGGGTTTTTTTATTTATTTTTTTACTGCTATTTTATACTTTTATTTAATTTTTTTAGAAATCCTGAATTCCAATTCAGCAAACAACTTAACATTTACAACATGGAATTTCTGTGGAGGCCTTGAACAAAAAATTAGTGATAAAATGTTTTTAAATAGTATTAATAGTTTTGATTTCATAAATTTATTAGAAACTAAGACAGATATCCACTCTCAAATAAGAATACCAAATTATAATCATTTTCATTCATATAGAACAACAAAACACAAAAATGCATGCTCAAATTCAGGTGGAATTGTACTCAAAGCATTTACAAAAAGAGGATAAAAAGAGTGCAAAGCAGTTGTAAGGATTTTGTTTGGCTCCATGCACCTGGATATTATTGTCTAATTCAGACCTCGTGGGGACTCTCCTCATGGGAGGAGCGAGCACCCACACTTTACAGCTGCTGGACCCATGACCAAATATCCCTGTCGCACACAGATTGCGCCGGTGTATTCCGGTTTGGAGGCAACGGGTAACTGATCCCTGGGCTTTCCAGGTGGTGACACACAGTTACGGGATACTGCTAAAATCTCTATCTCCCCTGGCAGTGCCCCAAATGAGGGACTTCCGCAAGGTGGAAGCAATCAGACAGGAAGTAGACAGTTTGCTGGAAAAGTGCGCCATACACAAGGTAGATCAGTCGGCATTAAGTCCAGGCTCCTACTCAAATGTTTTCGTAGTACCAAATCTACAGACAGCGGGCGTCCAGTACTGGACTTAGACAGACTGAATCAGTATGTGCTCCTCGATCGGTTCCACATGGAGACGCCATGCAGCATTCTAATCTCTATTTACCATCTCTACTGGCTAGCCTCACTGCCTACCTGCACATACCGATGCACCTGGCCAGTTGCCATCTCCTTTGATTCGCCCAGCTAGGCCAAGTATTTGAATCTGGGGTGCTCCCTCTTTAGGTCATGCACAGCTCCCTAAGTTTTCACCAGAATGGATGAAACAGGTGGTGCTGCTGCTTCACCAAACGTGGGTACACACCAAATAGTACTTAGACGACTGGTTATTACACAACTCAAACAATGGGGTATTAGCTGAGCAAGTAAGGCTAACGCAAGATTTACTTCACCAGTTGGGCTCTTTAGTAAATCAGACAAAGTCTCATCCCTACCCAACACAACAGTTGGTGTTCCTGGGCATGGAGTTTGACACATAGGTAGGCTTGGTACAGTGTCTTTTCAAGAATGATGACCTCGGTTTGAAGGGTAGTTCCCCAGGCTGCATTACGCAGCCGCCCGGTACAACGCATGTTTGCTACAACACCGAGCACACCTCTGGACATGTGAGTTTTCTCTCAGACCAAGTGAAGGAAGCCCTTGGACCCACTCGCCACGACCATGACTCTGGTAACAGATGCCTCCCTCAAAGGCTGGGGAGCGCATCTATTGGACAAACAAGGCCAAGGTATATGGCCCCCGCATTGGATTCGGGACCGCCATATCAACTGGCTCGAACTGAAAGCAGTGCACTTTGCACTACCACACTTTCTACCCGTAGTTTGAGACCACAGAGTCCTGCTCCGCACAGACAACACAGCGGTGGCCTCCTACATCAACAAGAAGGGGGGGACGCGTTCGATATCGCTGTCAGTCCTAGCAGAGCAAATTCTATTTTGGTGCCTGAAATACAATGTGGAGCTAACCTCACACCATCTTCCAGGGGTGAGGAACAGTCTGGCAGATGCCCTTTCAAGGCGGCTCCGTCTCCAGAACACTGAGTGGCAGATACCCCAGTGGGTAGCCTCCAGGCTGTTTTGGCTGTGGGACGGTCCAAAGATAGACCTGTTTGCCACACCCCGGAACACCAAGCTCACGACGTACATAACACTCCTGCCGACTCCAGGAGCCTGGACCATGGACGCCTTGTCGATCCCATGGACCCACATAGATGAGTATGCTTTTCCTCCCTTCCCGCTAGTTCACCAGGTACCAGAGAAAACTTTAGCAGGTGCACACCTGCATATGGACACTGGTCGCACCCAATTGGCCAACCAAGGCCTGGTTTCCACTTCTGTTGGAAATGCTAGTCAAAACACCAGAAGTACTTCCGGACTTACCAGACCTGCTGTCCCAACTGGACGGTGCACTACCAACGAGCCCAGTGATGTATCACTTACACGCATAGAGGCTCTCAGGAGACTTGCACAGATATAAGTCTTGTCTGAGCGGGCTGCCAACGTCCTGGCCAGGGAGAATAGGGATTCCACCAACGCAGCTTATGACTCAAAATGGCGAGTGTACACTGATTGGTGTAGCAGAAGGGAGATTGATCCATGCCATCCCTCTGTTGGCCAGGTAGCAGACCTCTTCGTCCACCTGTTTGACGAAGTGGGTTTGTCTTACGCAGCGATAGTTGGCCACAGGTCGACCTTGTCCCCACCATTGACAACGCTTTGGGAACAAGACTAGCCGATTGTCCTATTATTAGGAGACTGTTTACTGCTTTCCATAATCAGAGGCCGAGACCCGAACAAGGGAACCGCCCAATTGAGATTTGTCGGTTGTGTTGTAAGCTCTAAGCGGACCACCCTTTGAGCCTCTCCAATCAGCACCACTCAAATATTTGACGTGGAAAACAGTCTTCCTACTGGCCCTCGCCTCAGGTAGGCGTTGGTCAGAACTGAGGGCATTGTCCTTCTCAGACGGATGTACTGCCTTTATGGACAATCAAGTTGTGCTAAAGACAAAAATCGGGTTTCTCGCCAAGAACCAAATGCCAAGACATGATCCCCAGTCGATCGTCATGCCCTGGCTGACAAATATTTTCGCCCTTGAGGATCAGGAGGAATGGCTTCGCTTCAAATTCGAGCACTGAGTTGCTACGAAAACCGTACTAGGGATTCGAGAAGGGATGCAAACACATGTTTGTGTTATGGCCAAGGCAAGCAGGACAGGCCAGCCTCCTCGACTTCCATCGCCAGGTGGATTGTTGCGACTGTGTTAGAAGTCTATAGTTTTTCGACACAGAACTTGCAGAGACACCAAGTACGAGTGCATGAGGTCTGTGCGATTGCTAACTCACTAGTGCTAGTGTCAGGCGCCCCCCTCGAACATATACTGAGGGCAGGCTTCTGGAGAACGCAGAACGTCTTTATCAACTACTACCTAAGAAATACTCAATCCATTGAGGAGGGTCTCTTCAGGATGGGTCCCATCATAGTGGATCTGATTTTGGTTGCCGACCCAGCCCGAACGACCACAGGGGTTCATGCGCATAGACAATAAGTAAGTCTCAGCAATATTGCAGACAGATTTCTACCTTTGGCACCTTCCTGCCCTCATGCAGAACTGTTTCGGTCTTTATTTTAAGCTAGTTACCCCAGAATTGGGGTTGGGGTCCTAGCATTTTTGGGCACACCAAACCCCGTCACCGTGGCAGCATTTTGGCTCTTGCCCCGGGGACGGCACAGGCAAGGTAAGACACCATTTCCTGTATTGGTCTTAACTAGGTGGTAGTCTATTACTGGAGAGCAATTATCCCGGACTGGGACACACTTTTCATCACTTTCTGTTTACTCGGAAACCCGCCACCTATTGGTGTCTGACTTTGCCTACAGTTCAAAATAGTCATTTTGACTGACCGGAGTCTATGGTGGATAGTTGAACGTGGAGAATTTAGGCAGAGGGTTCTCGGATATATATATAAATATGTATTGATTTTGCCCATTGTGATTGATCAATAATATTACAGGAAATTGCCTCATTTACTAGTTTGTTTATATTACAAAATATGTATGAAAATATAGATGAAGAAGGTGTCAATAGATAATATAAGCACTATATAATAATGTGATGGGGATATTTATATAATATATATACGTATATGTACATACAAGCTTATTAGGTTATTCTCATTTGATCTTTGATTAAAAAACACTTATAAATAAATAGAGCTTACGAGTTAATGATTTGGCTTAGGAACTTAATAGTTGTACTAGAGTATTCAAGTTTGAGGGTTGTGTCTCATTTGGGAGATACTTTTTGACTCCCGTGTGCGAAGCACAAAAAGGGAGTCTTTGCAGTTATTGTGTCTGTCTGTGTGTCTGTGTGTGTGTGTGTGACTGTTCCACTGATATCTCAAGAACCATACATTGATTTTTGATGAAACTTGGTGCATAGATGCTCTGGACCAATGCGCAGATTTGATAGGTTTTGGTAAAAATTCATGCATATTAATTACCTAATTTGCATGATAATTATCTGATTTTAAGCTGTTCTATGATTTTTCCACTGATATCTAAAGAACCACTCATTGGATTTTGATGAAACTTGGCACTTAGATGCTCTGAACTAATGCGCAGATTTGATTAGTTTCGGGTAAAAATCAGTGCAATATTAATTACCTAATTTGCATAATGATTAATCAATTTTTGGCTTTTCCACTGATATCTCAAGTACTAATCATCACATTTCAATAAAACTTGGTACATAGATATCATAGGACACTGCACAGACCTGATAGTTTTTAGGGTAGTATCAGTACATATTAATTACCTAATTTGCATAATCAATTAATTTTCAGCTTTTGATATTTCAAGTACTAATCATCACATTTCAATAAAACTTGGTACATAGATGTCATAGGACACTGCACAGACCTGATTAGTTTTGGGGTAAATATTTGTGCATATTAATCATCTTATTAGAATAATTAGTTAATTTTGTCCATGAATGTTCCACTGATATATAAAGAACCACTTATTGGATTTTAATGAAACTTTTACAGAGTATTCATCATCACATTTCAATGAACCTAGGACTATACAGAGACCCAATTAGTTTTTGGTAAATATTTATGCTTATTAATCACCTAATTAAAATAATTAACACTGATATCTCAATTACTGATCATCACATTTGAATAAAATTTGGTACATAAATGCTCTAGAACAATAGACCGTGCGTGCGTGCGTGCGTGCGTGTGGTGTGTGTGCGTGTGTGTGTGCGTCTGTGCGTGCATCCGGACCTGTATCTTAGAAATGCCTGGACCAATCACAATCAAACTTCACACATACATCATACATGATATTATACATACGCATGTCAATTTGTTTCATGATCTGATTCAAGATGGCCGAATGGCGGCCATTTTTGTGCTAAAAATCATCAAAATCAAGCATTTCTCGGCTGTTTACAGATGGATTTTGTTCAAATTTGGTATATACATTAGAGATTATAGGACCTTGATGCACATCAATTTGTTTCACGATCTTATTCAAGATGGCCAAATGGCGGCCATTTTTGTGCTAAAAAATCCTAAAAATCAACCATTTCTCGGCTGCTTACAGATGGATTTTGTTCAAACTTGGTATATACATTAGACATTATGGGATCTTGATGCAAATAATTTTGTTTTTCAGATAGAATTCAAAATGGCCAACTGGCGGCCATTTTGTATTAATGAATGTGGTTCTTGTGCCATATCTCTGACTTGCTTTCACTGATTATGTTCAAATTTTAAATATTCATTATACATCATGTCATAGATAAACAGATATATTGGTTTGACTATTCTATTCAAAATGGCCGAATGGTGGCCATTTTTGTGCTAAAAAATCATCAAATATCAAGCATTTATGGGTGGATTTCGTTCAAACTTGGTACATACATTAGACATTACGGGTTCATTTTATTTTTCAGATTGTATTCAAAATGGCTGACTGGCAGCCATTTTGTTTTAATGATTGGACTTCTAGAGCCATATCTCTTAAATGCTTTGACTTATTATATTTAAATTTTATATATTCGTTATACATCATGTTATATATATACATGTATTCAAAATGGCTGATTTTGAATGCTGTTCCAGAACAATATCTCTCAATATGGACAAGTACTTGTTTGACAATCATTTTAATGTTAAAAAATCATATTCCTGACATGGTTATATTCCAGCTATATTACTATAAACAAAACTATACAAAACACAAATGTATATCTTAAATTTGATAACTAACAGGGACTGTGCCATGCATGGCTTGTTAGTTTTACACTCAAATCTGTTCATATCAGTTACCTGATTTACATAATTGGTTTTCAGCTATTCCATCAATATCTCAAGTAATTTTGAATTAATTTTTAATGTGTCTTCAATACTCTCAGCACACGGGAGTTTATTCTAAGCCTTCTTTGATTCCTGATTGTGTCCCATGCAGTGCATTTTAGTAAAAAATGATATTCATCATCAATTTCTTGCAGGCACAAATTACAAATACGGCTCTCCCTAGGGATATTATTATGTCTGCCTCTTTCTATTTCTAAGGGATGGCACGCACATCTTAATCTTGCTATTGCTCTGCGCAATTTTAATTGTGGCAATGACACATAGTTTTCAATCCCAAAATTTATTTTGTATTGCTTATAATACTGCGTTTTTTCTCTAGAACCAATCTGTAATTTCAATATCTTTGACCCGTTTACAAAATTTTTACAAGAACATATCAGAGTCCCCCACCCCTTGATTAAACCAGACATAACCAAATCCATATTTAAATAGCAATTCTTTAATTTCTGTGGCTTATGACCTTTTGTCCTTTTTCATCCAGTGAAAGTAGCATCCGGTAAGCTTTTTGGGGTAATCTGTTTTCATCCATGCTAGTAATTTTTAACCAATATTTCACACATCTTTTAACATGGTAACAAAATAAGGGTAGCCTCGCACAATCCCCTAATACTGTACAAGTTGGAGCATTTTTACTTACACCAAGGTATTGCCTACAATATGATGTATGTACACTTTATAAATGTTTACATTGACCATATCCCCAGATTTCAGACCCATATGTAAGTACAGGTTGAATTAAGGTGTCAAAGATCTTAAAATACAAGTCTGCTTTAAAGTAAAAGTATCTTTTGATTGCAATAAATTTATTTTTGCCTTTTGTAGGTAAATTTTCTGTGGTAATATTAAAAGAGCATTTACATGACATTACCAACACTGAAATTAAAATACTCTAAAATTCAACAAAAGAATCAAATAAAATAGAAAATCTCTGAAAAATTTATTAAAAAGTAGCAAGGTTCTCCCAGACCACAGTAACATATTTAACTTTGGAAAATTGTATAAAGCCATATC